ACAAAACGAAACAATATCGAGCCGGGCAAGAAGTGGTTTCGTCCATAAATAAAGACAAATATTTATTTATTTTATTTATTTATACTTAATGCACAAGTGTACAAAGGCGGACTTAATGCCATAGGCATTCTCTACCAGTCAACCATAGGGTGTTTTGGAAAAATAGTGGTAGGGTGCACAACTTACATGGAAATTACAGAAAGACGAACATATATAAATATGAAGCATTCATATATAATCACACATACATAAATTATTACTTACATATAAATAACTATACATATACATACATACATACACATATAAATATACATACTAATACATAATGATGACGACTAACGTTTAAGCTAGACTGCTTGTTCCTGTAAAAAGCTTCGTAGCTTGGTTTTGAAGCTAATTTTGTTGGTGGACATTTTAATATCTAGGGGGAGTTCGTTCCACAAAAGTATAGAATATTATACAATACACATGAACATTTAATTAAATACAAGAAAACACATGAATATTTCCAGCGTATGCATACACGTGAGACAATAGGTATATAATATTTTTGTAATGATCAGAATTCTACTTATAATATGCATTGTGTTGTCTAAGCGGTTTTGCCGGCTGACTAAGACTTGTGTCACTAAGGTTGATGGCGTTCATTCATATCTGAGTCCATACATAGGAGATGTATACTTTTTGCGACAGTAACATGCTGTGTGAACAAGCACAATGTATTAATATAGTCTTGGTTAATAGCACGTCATGATTGAAGAGATTGTATTCGAGTGCCACGTGGTGCGACGATATATCTTTCAATAGATTATATTTAAATAAGAACATTAGTGTAAAATATGAAACAGCGACTCAAATTCTACAAAGTCAAACAAATTACCTAAAACTATAAAAGCTAAAAAATATATATAACTAAAATATATTATTAAAAGGGGTCCCTTTAGGCAAGGTTCCGAAGATACTGGCATCGTTCCCCCTTCGAATAGCTAGACTAATTCTTTGTCCGAGGTAGCTGCCAGCTCTTAAGTCTCCTGTGATGTCGACTAATTCTCTAAGTAAACTAGCTGACCCAGGGAACTTCGTACCGCCATAAAAATAGGGGTAGAAGAGAAAATTTAGGGTTGTATGTATTTTTTTGGTATTAAAAAATACATACAACCCTAAATTTTTTCATTATAGAAAAATAAATATTGCCCAAATACAATTTTAGGGGTGTGTAACGTAGTGTTCTATCAATTTCCTGGGATAACATTCTTCCTAACCCATATGAGAACATCATCATCATCATCATCAACCCATGCTCGTCCACTGCTGGACATAGGTCTCCCCTAATGCACGCCACTGCTCCCGATTTTGTGCTACTCTCATCCAGCCCACTCCAGCCAGCTTACGAATATCATCATCCCATCTTGTCTCAGGGCGTCCTACACTACGTTTACCGAGTCGTGGTCTCCACTCAAGAACTTTCTGGCTCCAACGGTCATCAGTACTGCGGCTAATGTGACCAGCCCACTGCCACTTCAGTTTGCTAATTCGGTGGGCTATGTCGGTGACTTTGGTTCTCTGTCGGATTACATCATTTCTGATGCAGTCCTTCAGGGATACTCCGAGCATGGCCCTTTCCATAGCTCTCTGAGCGACTTTAAACTGGTGGACTCGTCCCGCCGTGAATGTCCACGTCTCGGCGCCGTATGTCATAACTGGGAGGACGCACTGGTCGAAGACTTTCGACTTGAGACATTGAGGGATGGGTGACGAGAAGACTTGACGAAGCTTACGAAATGCTGCCCAGCCCAAATGGATTCTTCTATTGGCGTCTCTCTCGAAATTGTTTCTGCCTAATCGGAGCGTTTGTCCTAGATAGACATATTCCTGAACAACCTCGAGAGGTACTACATTAACAGCAATCAGTCCCGGATCAACGAGCTCGTTGAACATGACCTTGGTTTTATCCAAGTTCATCCGGAGACCGATGCGTTTGGAAGATTCAGCCAGGCTGCTTACCATCTCCTGTAGCTCTTGCAGGGTTTCAGCCAGGATGACGATGTCGTCCGCGAATCGAAGGTGTGAGATGTATTCGCCATTAATATTTATTCCACGTCTTTTCCAGTTGAGCGTTCCGAACATGTCCTGCAGCGCAGCGGAGAAGAGTTTCGGGGATATTACATCCCCTTGTCTCACACCACGGCGCAGCAGGACAGGCTCGGTCTGACCATTCTGGAGGACGACGGACATATTAGCGGCGTCATACAGACATCTCAGCACCTCGATATATCGCCAATCAACTTGGCACCTCTGCAAGGCCTCGAGAACAGACCAGGTCTCGACGGAGTCAAAGGCTTTCTCATAGTCCACAAATGCCATGCACAGGGGCTGGTTATACTCTATGGTCTTCTGTATAACCTGCCTCACTGTGTGAATGTGGTCTATGGTGCCATAACCCCGTCGGAACCTAGCCTGCTACGCAGGTTGAGCCTCGTCAAGTCTTCGTACAAGGCGATTCGAGATGACTCTTGAAAACAATTTATAGACATGGCTCAGGAGTGAAATTGGTCGATAGTTCTTCAGTAAGGTCTTGTCGCCTTTCTAGAAGAACAATACGACCAAGCTCCGGTGCCACGCCCTTGGAATTCTCCCGGAAAAGAGAACAGAGTTAAATATACGCCGGAGTTCCTTCAGCACCGGCTTGCCGGCAGCTTTCAGAAGCTCGGTTGTGACTCCGTCCTCTCCCGGGGCTTTTCCATTTTTAAGTTGCCCAAAAGCCGCCTCGATCTCCTCTAGGTCGATGTCGGGGAGATCCTCCGTCACATGGCGGGTTAATGTGGCTCTCAAATCTCTCTCATCCGACGTAGGGTGGGACGAGTACGACGTGTATAGCTGGCTATAGTAGGTATAAACTTCCGAAAGAATCTCTGGTTTCGACGTGACGACTTCTCCACTTGTTTTGGTCAACTTCGTCAGGTGGCTCCTTCCAAGCTGTTGTACAAAAACTTTAGACCCCCGGTACTGCTCAATTGCTCTCTGTATCAAGAGTGTATTGGAGCGTCGGAGGTCACGCCTTATCAGCTTGGAGATGGACTTATCCAGAGCCCGTTGTTCTGACGAAGTGACCAGTGGATCCTTTCGCCGCTTGTCCATTAGATCCAGAGTCTCTTTCGAAAGTTTAGACCGCTTGCCCGTACGTCGCAGCTCACAGAACTTAGCACCTTCGTCCCGAAGGATTTCTACCACTTGGTCGAGTTCCTCGTCGATGTCAACGTCAATTGTGGTTTCCAAGGCAGCGAATCGATTTTCCAGTTTCAGTTGGAATGCGTCAGAACCAACGGCCAATTGGAGCAGATTTGGCCGGAGCGTGGACTTCATCAATCGACGACGTTCGCGCTTAAAATCGATATTCAAAGTGCCTCTTAGAAGTCGGTGATCACTTCCAGTTTTAAACCTATTGATCACTGAGACATCTCTGAATATGCGCTTCTTGTCCGATATGATGAAGTCAATCTCGTTTTTGGTCATAGTATCGGGGCTCCGCCAAGTCCATTTCCTCTGGGGCTGTTTCTTAAAGAACGAATTCATTAAGAAAAGCCCCGCGCGTTCTAAGAAATTGACGAGCATTTGCCCCCTATGATTTCTACTTCCATAGCCGTATGATCCTAACATCGATTCGCTGCAGGTTTGTACTCCCACTTTAGCGTTGAAATCCCCCATGACAACTTTAAAGTGAGCCTTGGTGGTGGTGTGTAAGGCTCGAGAGATGTCCTCGTACATCTCTTCCACGACATCATCCGAGTATGTCGACGTTGGAGCGTACACTTGTATAACCTTTAGGCTATACCTTTTGATTAATTTAATAATGAGGTACGCAACTCTCGCCGACACACTGGAGATTTCAATAACGTTGTCAGTGAGGACTTTGTTGACCAGGAACCCGACGCCGCCCTGTGACGGATTTTCTCCCTCTCTAAAGTACATAAGATGGCCAGACTTTAAGGTCAGCGTGTCCTCGCCCTCTCTGCGGACTTCGCTCAGCCCGAGCACGTGCCATCTTATGTGCCTCAGCTCCTCCTCCAGTTGAGCTAGATGAGAGTCGAGCCGTAGCGTGCGACCGTTATATGTCGCTAAGTTCAATGTTTTTTGGCGGCCTACCGTAGCCCGGAGATTCTTAGCACCCCCTGCCCTGCCGTAACCGAGACCGCTGCCTTGGCCTGGAATAGCAGGGCTACCGGGAACTGGGGGGCCCAGACAATGTTGTGCTTTTCATGTAGAGGGTTTGGACCATAACCCACCACGCAGGTCCATATGAGAACACTACGTTACAATACCAAAATAGTATGAATTTAGGGGCGAAGGCACATTGTAGGTTTCAGAAAACTACGTTACAGTTGGACAACCATTATCACTTAAGGATATGAAAAATAGATAGTAGCCGATTATCAGACCCACGGAATATGCATATAAAATTTCATAAAAATCGGTGAGGCTGTTTCGGAGCAGTATGGTAACTAACATTGTGACACGAGAATTTTATATATAAAATTACATTCACAGCTCATTATTTTTCAAATCCAAGACAAATATTAAAATGTAATTACATTAAGGCAAGCAAAAGAAATCGCTTAAATATAAAGATTAAAATTAAATAAAAGATTAAAATAATCATAATAGATCAAGAAAGTCGATAAATACGGAAAAACCCATAAATAAGAAAAAAAATACAGGTAGAAAATTGACATATGCACCCCCCCCCCCTGAAAAAATAAAGCATCAAATCAAACCCCCCAACACACCCTAGAATTAAAACATAAAGCAGGCTAGCAGTGTCATTCGTTATTAGTTTATTTTGCTACGAAACGAGCACATTATCGGAATCCGGAACAATAAGGTCGAATTACTGGACACGAGACAAGACGCAAAATTCCGGATTTCCCGGCCATCTGGCAAGCCTATTTTTAATACCTACCTAATAAAGGAGGCACAAAAATATTTTAAAAATGTTTACCAACCTTATGAAACTCGTAAAAAGTATCTTGGATGTCAGTCCATTGTAGCAGATCCATTTTGTTTATTACAATCAGTGGTACTGATTCAAACACTACACTCACTGTTCCCTGCGCACCATTCAACTACACAATTGCATGTAAATTAGTTTTTTTAGTACAATTTGTATTATATGGATCTGTTGAAGATACCGGCTATCGGTCTATTGCTATCTAACGAACAAAGTTCGACTGATTAGATAGTGTAAACTTGTCGCGACTTACTATAGCTATTTTTCGTGTTAATATTAATAATTGAATCGTAGTATATCTTTATCAGTGTAGGTTAGGATAAAACCAACGATAGTTACATAAAATTGATTTTTAATAAAGTAAGCTGACGCAGGTGTGTTAATCTATGATTAGCGAAAACGTATTACTGTCGTACTCTTTTTTTGTTATATTTATTTTTGTTTTTTAAGCATTTAACTGCTAGATGTTTGTTTAAATCTAACGAAAATTTCACTAGAAAAAAAACATGCGAACCACGCAACAGACGGGACCTGATGGCCGTGTCAAATTTTCTCTAGCATTTCTTAGGTTGCAATGCAACGCCATCTCTTCGCACTGTAGGTAATCCTACTCTTTTTTTAGTGTGTATACTGTTGATCGCAGAGGATCTTTACAGCGTCACCGGGTTTGGGAATGGCGAGATCCAATGGGGACCTCAAACCGAGAATCGGCAAACGCCTCTAGAGGTATTCCCAGCGGACGGCATCTCCTCTCAGTCTGGAGCCTCTAGACCACTCGAACTTGAAGGGATCGGCTCAACTAGAGGGCGTCTCTGAAATTCAGACCTCGGCTGTACTCAGCTGTTATCGTGGGGGGCGGGGAAAAACGCCCAGGTACGTATTTTTACCTGTTATAGCATGTCATGTGTAGACCGGGTCTTCCGCACTCTAATTTTACAGGTGCGGTGTCTGCGTAATGCAAAGCTTGTGTGCAAGTTTGCTAGGCGTATAGTGTTGGTATTTGTGGCCTGTATTGCAGGAATCGGAGATGCGTTGGAGCGGGTGATTTTGTCGTCGGGTGAAGTATTCCCAAAATACTTGAGCCCTTTATATAGGGTCGACCGTCTAAGGCAGCAAAAAAAAAACATCCAACAACCTGCCATGACTTTTGGTCACGTCCAAATCGTCACTCTTTTGAATAGGAGCTACTTAAAGGTTCACGAAACATCCCTTTTTATAATATCCGACAAATATTTTTTTCCCATTTTATAAGCCCTTCGTGTTTTGTCATTTAAAATTATAAACACACTTCAAACTGCAATGGATTATGTAGAATCTTCGAAATTTCACATTTGAGCTTTAATTCTAAACTGCATGATAAATTGTTAGTAGATAAAATTTTACAACACAGAGGAGCTGGATTTAAATATGTCTAATTATTTTTAAAGTTTCGTCTATCTACAACCAAAGGACATTGTTCAGCGTCCATACATAGTTAGCCAAAGAACCAACAATCATGAAATATTATTTTCTAGGTTCAAAATCGTTAGTAAATGACTGTAAAAACAAAGATTATTGACGGACACTTCTGAGAACTTAAATTATTAGGAAAACTATTTTTTTTTTGAGGTTATGTTTAATATTCAATGAAACATAGGTCAAACTATGAATTTAGTATGAACTCAGTATTAAATGAATTGATATTACAACTAATTCATTTTATTCGGTGCGATTTTAAAGAATGACTAATAGGAAAAACTTGGTTAGGTAGGAATCATGAATAAAATAAAAACTGTAGTTTTGCTTCTTATTTATTAACTAATTTTCACATAATTGTATCATATTGTTTATTGTGTTTATTTGTATATCACATGTATATTGTGTAAATATGCAGCGTGAATGTGTATCAGGTGTTCTTGAATAATTTGGCAGTATGATCCTCTCAGGATGTTGTGGCACAGGTTCACTAGCACTTGATAATAAGGGCTCTGTTCTTTGGTAACATCGATGGCATATTAAATAGCCGAAATAGTTAAATTAAATCGCAAATAAACACACACAACAGGTAATCCGAAACGAGAATGCACTTTCCGGTATTCCGGTATATTATAATACCCTTTGGAATGCACGAATGCCACAGATTATTACAAATGCAAACTGCATGCAGCACAACCACAGAGTAACGAGTTTTATGCCGGCCCTCCACTTGACAACAGTTTGTCCTTGTCATGCTTAATAGAAAATTTAAAATAGCAAATACGAATAGCCAAGTGAAGTGCCGGCATTAGGAAGAAAGAGTTTTGTTTGCAGCGCGCTACAACATTTAACACATTGAAAGGGTATTTATTGTATCAGATTATTTTTAAATTTTTTTAATGTACCTTACTTAACTGGAAGTGTCCGTCACAGTCTAAATACTAATAATTATCGCAAAAAATATACTAAGAATTATCATAAATGCCAAATTGGTGTTGGTTCTTAGGCCAATTTTAGCATAGTCCTTTCATAGACTGAAGATTTATAACTTAAAAAAGTGGAACTTTTATTATTTCGCTACAAATTGTTTCTTCAACTTTAGCATGCGGTATTATATTTTTGATTGTTATTAAAAATTTTGACTTTATCAACAAGCATAGCTCGTCTGCTACGCGGACGACCCGGGTTCGATTACCAGCCGAGAAAAGATTTTCTCGTCAATAATTTTAAAAGTTTCACTTACATTGTATTTTATTTTCAAGAAACAATGTTTAGTGTTTTATGAATTGGAAAGTGTTTTTTAATATGCTAACAGTGCTTCTCAATAACCACATCATTGACTGGCAATTTCTCTCAAATATCTTATTCGTACGTAATCATACATTTTACGATAAGTATTTGCAAATTGTTAAGTGCAAACTCGGTTCTTAGAACATTTGTGGCGTAAGTAAAGTCACTGAGCTGAACACTTTACTGATGACGTCATATTCAAGTTTCATTAAAATATCGCTTGATGTAGTAATTGATTCCGATCAACTGGCACAGATGGCGTTACTTTAATGATAAGTTATTTTGACGGCGTGGTCAATCGAATAGACTATTTAGTAAAATGAAAGTACATAATCCTAAAATTTCATCAAAATCAGCTTCTTATTAATAATAAAGCATATTCAGTGAAATGTTATTATGATACTTAGATCGAAGTATCACAAGTTGTACCGGTGATGCTGCGATGTCAATAATATCATGATATTATCGACAGTGTAAATTCAATGGAAAAACGTGGGAAAAACGGACCAACCAACAACGCGGGCCCAGTTGGTATATTTGCCAATCACAATAATTCGGATCTTTTATCACGAACCAATATCTAATTCGTATCGTTTACGAGTACGAAATGTCAATGTCAAATGTGTACTGATTTTTAGTTATCTGTACGTCCATTGTGGAGTGTTCAAGTTTCCATACAAATTTTGACATTGATATTTCGGACTCGCAAACGTTACGAATTCGAATAGTGGGTACAGATCCCTTGTTGGAGCAATCAAGAAAATTGATCTGTTGCCAATAATATAAGGGCATTTTTGATTTCATCTAAGTTAATGAGTGTTTAAATACTGAACTCACAGAAATATATCAAAATGTATTCCTGTGACTTAATTTCATACACGTATTACACGTGTCTCTTATCTAAGTACTTTAAAAAAATCTTAGAACATAAAGTTTAAGCCTGAAGTTTTATGTCATCGCTTATAAACTAATACATATAAACAATATATAGCATAGTAGCAACATTCTCCGTCCAAAATAGAGAAACTAAATTATAATGAATAAAAAATCTAGAAAAGTTTAAAGTGGAAGAAAAGGTCTGTGACACCACCTAAAGCGTTTCGGCACTCATATCTATCATCATATCATATCATAATATCATGATATAGATATGAGTGCCGAAACGCTTTAGGTGGTGTCACAGACCTTTTCTTCCACTTTAAACTTTTCTAGATTTTTTATTCATTATAATTTAGTTTCTCTACTTTGGACGGAGAATGTTGCTACTATGCTATATTGTTTATTAAAGTCATAACTTTTAAAAGAAGGTCTGTGACAGTACTGCCTACCCTATCATAGAATAAAACTGTAGATATGCTTGAAAAAAACTATAGAAAACTGTAAATATCAAATAAAAATACTGTAAATCTACATCTTTTTTCTTTTTTGTATTATGTTATAATATGAATGTGATATTATTAAATAATATGTAGTTATTTACGATATTAGCGATTATGATATGAGGAGCTCGATGGCGCAGGTGGTTAGCGCGTTCGGCTGCGATCTTTGAAGCAACTTTCGCAGTGGTCGGTCATTGGATGGGTGACCAAAAATCTTCTATCTCGAGTTCCTCCGTGCTTCGGAAGGTACGTTAAGCCGTTGGTCCCGGCTGCATCTGCAGTCGTTAGCACCCGCCAATCCGCACTGGGCCCGCGTGGTGGGTCATGGCCCAATCTCCCTATTCCATCCATAGGGAAGGCCTGTGCCCCAGCAGTGGGGACATTAATAGGCTGATAATGAAAAAATGAATTACGATATTAGTGCGGTAAGTTGGTTATTACCAACGAATATTATGACCAACGAATAGACGAATGTAGGCTCAAAATATAAATTTCAATATTTTTTTAATAGCACGTTATATCCTACTGAATCTGACTAATGTACTGGCTACCTAACAAACACAATGGATGGCTCCAGTATCTTAAATAAAAAACTGTATTTCGAGGCGCAAACTGAAAGAATTTCCAAAAAAACTTGGGATACACAGTTCTGTGACAAGAAATAAACAAAACTAGGCAAAATAAAACGTTTGAGGTTTATTTTCATCGCTGGTTCGCAAGCAAAGCTCAAGCGGTGATTGTAACAAGTTGTCAAGGTTTTCGGATTTTCCAACGCTGCCCCGCCACCACCGTGCGTTTACAAAATGGCCGACCGCTTTGTGTCTTACCTATACTGTTGCTAAGAACAACTCGTTTCTTTTTTATTTACATTGTACATATTCAGACCAGACATCTATTTTTATTGCATCTGTTTTCGGATTACTGATTCTCGGAAAACATGTACCAGTTCCAGATTAAGCTTATGAACTGCGAGAGTCCTTATGGTAACAAAATTATTTTTTTACTGAAGTCTCTTTTTCAGGGAAAATGTTTATTGCAGACAAATGCATTACTTGTATAGTATAACCGGACTGATTTAAGAATAACAGCGTAAGATTTTTTTTGTGTGTTTTGTCAAATGCAGTTTTTGTTAAGTTTTTAGCATACCTACACTTATATTTTTAATGATTTCTCGAGTTTAAATAACTTTTTTAAATTTATTGGTAATGTGTTATCTGGTGACCTTTTTCTCTATCTAGCTCTTACTTACATAACTTAATAAATTAATGATGCATGCTCCCTCTCTGGAGAGAGATCAGTCAGTTGCCAACTTTCCGTCCTGTAGTCCGTATCTAAAACTGTTCTTCATCAGCCTATTAATGTCCCCACTGCTGAGGCACAGGCTTACCCTATACCACGTGGGCCAAATGCGGATGTACGGTTAATAACGACTGCAGTTACAGCCGAGTTCAACGACTTGACGTGCCTTCCAAAGCACGGAGGTGTTCGTGATAGGTGATAAGTTTTTGGTCACCCATCCAATTACTGAGCATTGCGAAAGTTACTTAACTTCCACTATCGTAGGCCGAACGGGCTTACCACCTAAGCCATCGAGCTCCTCAGTTTCTGATACTATCTAAGATGAGTTTGTAATCATTGACCGACAATATGTGACTTGTATTTTCGAATACCTAACCTCTTGACTCAACCAATTCCAAAGGTGCACATTAAGGTGTGTTGATCAAGAGATTTATGTTTACACTAACAAATATCTATCTTGTTTCCGGTCGCCATGAAGCTCTACCAATGGCAAATGTGTAATCATTAGGGTGTGGCCAGGCAAATGACATATAGGTATATTATATTTTATCTGTCTCAGTGTGCCGAATCTTTGTTTCTCTAACGTTATGACGTTATTAAGCTCTGATTCATATATTCTTAGTTTTTGAGAACCACAAAGAAAAGCAACGCAATCGGTTTGCAAATCTAAGACGGGACCACATACTGAGAACAACCGGCAAGTAACTCAGTAAGGGCAGCTTTTTTAGCCCTCTTTTAATTTAAATAGTATCGCCAATTGTGTTATCAAAACTTAGAAAAATGCACTGAGATCAAAAGCTATAAATATCCAGTCATAATTTTTCAAACAAATGAGCTGGTATTTGAAAAATATTAGGGATTAACGACCTCCGTGGCCGAGTGGTTTGTACGCCGGGTTTCATGGTGTCACCGACTCGAGAGGTCCCGGGTTCGAATCCCGGTGGGGGCAGATGTTTGTGTGATGAATACGTGCATTTGTACTCCAGTCATGGATGTTTAATATGTATTTCTAAATTAATATATGTACAGTATATGTATTCTATCCGTTACCCTAGTATCCCATAACACAACCCTTACAGTGCTTACTTTGGGGCTAGGCTAATTGGTGTATGTGTTTGAAATATTTATTTATTTATGTTATCAAAACTTATTAAAATGCATTGAGATCAAAAGCTATGTAATGTGCAGTCCCAATTTTCAAACAAATTGATCTAGTATTTGAAAAATGTTATAGTTTAAGCAACAAAAATAAATATATCATAATATTTATTTTGATATTTTACTGAGCCGTAACGAAATACTAAATTGTAGATCAAGCGCTCCAGTATTATAATTTGAAATTTAAATTGTTATAGCATTTGTAATACTTTATGGTATATAACTCACGATTTGAATAGGCAATAATGTCGTGATCCAGTTCTCTCGACAACACTCGACTTCATTTAAATAATTCGTGAAGCTCTTTCATTTCGGTATTAAATTTAGAAAATAATAGCAAAAACTGCAAATTTTTTTTGAAGTGAATCGTCACACGACGATGTATAAGTATATGTGAGGGGGGGGGGGGGGGTGCAATCATGCAGCTCTTCCCGATGAGCATTAAAGTTGGAGGGTGATTCGGAGCAGGCTGAAATGCTACGAGCGTCTCGAGCGTCACGAGCAAAAGTTATTGTAAAGTTGATTGAAAACATTAAAATATGCGATGCGATTTATCCATAAATAATTTGGTTTACAATAGTTAGTGGCAGGAGTTCCCTTTTAAGCAAATCAATGCTTGTGCCAGATGACTCCGCTCTTCCATTACATATTTTATGTATACAAATTTAAATATTTTTTTTTTTATTCTATTTAGAACTTAGATATAAGATTGCCTATGCATGAAGTGTATCAGTTCTCCTGTCGATGTAAATTGAACTTGTTCACAACGAAATTTGTTTTAAAATTTTCTGTAAGAATTTCTTTCGCACATGTTTTTGGTGAATGAAATTTGCTCTCAATACAATTACATATATATGAAGAGCTTCTTTTTCATCATAAGCCTGGGTTCACCCATTGTCGGGTATAGGCCTCTTCATGGTTTCTCCCGCCCATCTTCATTTCAACCTGGCCACCACTGAACTGATGTCGGTCATTCTTCAACAGCTATAGTATTGGTATAATTTAAAACATCATCTAATGATTCATCTGCACTGTAACAGTAAAATAAATGGATGTTACGGCGAATCAGTTACGGCGTCCTAGATTTACGAGTATCAATTTCGAATATAAATAATAACGATTTGTTTTGAATTCAAAAAAAATGCGGACCGCCCGTTGTTAAATACTCGAATTACAATATTTGGGAGCTTTAAAATTAGGTAGTAAACATTTACATACCATTTAGGTTATACTAACTACATAGACAGAGATAAAATCAGTTTATGTCATATCCGCGCATCAGTCAGCATTCTGATCTTATCTGATGACTGGAGCGCGTAGAGTTTCTCTAGTAAAATTGTATTAAGATTAAAAAATCTTTAGCAGTTAAATGCTTAAAATTTATTTATTTGTTAATTAAATTACATTTCCTTGCTATTTTTTGTTTATATCTTCCTACGTCTATTAAAATCCAATATTTATATGTAAAAAAAATCACAGCTTAAAATAAAAACAAGAATTATTATAATTGCATCAGAAAAGTTCAAGTTTTTAATGAAGACAAAGTAACAGAAGTTCTGACTTTGATGCTCATTAAATTAACTATTAAGATTGACAAAGGTCGCGTTAATTACTTGACATTTTTGCCAAAACAAGTTAACCTTCGTGAAACTTGATACCTATGTTACACTACCGCAGTGCCCATATGTACCCATTTATATGATCAAGTGGCAGCTGGCACGTGTACCAACAAAAAGTTTTCAAAACTCATTATTTAGTTTTTCTTGTAGATTACAAACCTCTTTTGCAGTAATAAAAACATACACACATCAACTTTTTATTTTCATGACATAGCACAATTATTGGTTTTGTTAACAAAGAGAATCGCGCTCGCCAACATGCTACGGCGACCAATTACCAGTATGATACAACATGCGAGCAAGGCCGCAGGACCTGTGACGTAAACGCGAGTTCCCTTTCACCGACTCGATTGGGTGCGCGCGCGCAACCGATCGATATACACGCCCACGGGCCGCGGATTGATATATTTGCATCTACGAGTATCTGCGCAATCGCGTCGGAGGTTGAGTACGCGCCACTCTATCTATACTGGTCTATTCTGATTTCAATTCTAGCAAAGCGAAAATTTTATGCTACAAAAGTAGATTAGTAACAAAAGTTAATTCATAATCATTGTCACCTGCGAAGTTGGTAAATATGTATTATTTCGCTAGGCATTGGGCATTGGGTGAACACGTTAGGCATTGGGCGACTTTAAAATTTTTGTTCTTAAATAATTGTGGTTGTCTACAATATTTTCTTAAACAGTTTTGACGATTCGGTC